GGCTCTTGAGGGACCCCCACCTACCTGCACAGAGCTGGCTCACGGGAAGACCCCTCCCTGCACTGAACTGGCTCATGGGGGGACTCCCACCCCCTTCCTGTTGGCTCACGACGGAATCTCCCTTCCCCCACCACCTGCACTGTGGTTGGTCATAAGGGGGACCCAGGAGACCCCCCCGACCTCCATCATGCTAGGTCATGGTGGGACCCTGGGTGCCTCCCCATCATGCTTGGTTGGGGGGGAGGGTTCAGTCATTGCCAAGCTACCAGCAGTACCCAGCAGCTGCCAGAAGCAGGCTGAGAGGCCTGGGGAAGAGACCCTGCTAGCTCCATGGATTTGGGTTAGAAATCTCCTGTCTGTTGGGCTGGGAGGGATTAGTTGTTCTGAGGGAGCTGTCCCTGGTTCTTACCTGAGTTCCTATCCCATTGGGCCAGGAGAGCTATTTGCTCCATCCTGGTAATGTGCTTAGTGACATCCAAAATCCAGACTGTCCCGGTGTCTAAGAGCTCACACCGTACGAAAGGGAGACCGAGACGATCTCAGGATGCAGTTAGTGGCACTTTCATTGCTGTGCCTCGCTCTCTCAGGTGTTGCTCCCTTTTCAACAGCCCATGTGTTAGCAGCCTAGGTGATGCAGTAGCACTTAGAGGCCTTAAAGACTGTGAGTCTATTGTGGTATATACACATAGGAAAACAGTCCAGTCCCTGCCTCAAAGAGCTTACAGTTCTGCTCATTGTTATTATTATAGTCTTGTTAAAGTCTATAACAGGGTTCAAAAAAGAGCTAGATAAATTCATTGGGAGGTAGATCCTAGGGATGTTCGAGATTAACCATTTACCTGATAAGTGGATGCTTACTGGATAAATGGTTAATTGGTTAAACTCTAATATCCCTAAGACTGATCCTCCATGAATAAATGTATGCTTATCACTTAATGGTATTGGTTAAATGTAGCTGGCTCCCAGGGAGGCGGTTTCGCTGTGGCCGGACAGTGAAGTGCCCAAGAATCAAACAGGCAAGGGTTGCCAACTCTACTCCTGGGAAGGTTTCGCTGTGGTCTCTGCAGTATAAAGCTTTATACTGTAGAGCCCACAGTGCGTGGAACTGTATAACTGAAAAGAATTTTTAGCAGTTACATGGTTATTGTATTAAATGATTTGTATTTAATGATCCCTAATAGGAATGGTGTCTCTAGCCTCTGTTTGTGAGAAGCTGGGAATGGGTGACGGGAGGGATCACTTGATGGTCACCTGTTCTATTCTTTCCCTCTCGGGCACCTGGCTTAGACCACTGTCAGAAGACAGGTTACTGGGCTAGATGGACGGTTGGTCTGACCCAGTATGGCCGTTCTTATTGTTAGAAGTGTCAAAGATTAGGTGAAGGGAAGGAAAATAATGTAATCCCTGTGTTTTCTTCATCCCCTTGCTCATACCTCCTTTTGCTCATTTCCTTTTGCCCACTTTTGGGGGCTTCTTCCTGCCTCTCTTCCCCCCTTGCTGTCGTGAGTGCAGAATTCTCACCTCATTTCTTTGGTTCTCTTCTCCCCCTGTACCACATGCCCAAATAATGCTTAGCGTGGATTTGTGTTCACTACCCCTCACTCGGACCATCAAAAATGAAGTTGATGCAAGTCAGTTCAGATTCAATACCACTGATACCTGGAGAACAGCAGCAGTGAAGCTGATCAGAGCACAGAAAATTCTGCTGATGGAGGCTGTGTGAGTGGAGAGAGGGGCAGAAAAAAAGGACTAACTCACCTTTCTTTCTCCAGCCTGCCCTCCTAAACAGGAGCATTTTTAAACAACCTCAGAGTGAAATTGGGACAAGACTCTGGTTAGTTTCAAGACTATGCTGCAGGCATATCTGATCTAACCAGAATCTTGTCTAATTCCCTGTTTGCCTGAAGCAAAGGGAACTTGGTAAGTGGTGCTTTCTGGTTTTCACATAAAATGAGAGTCACATGTTGCAAATGTGTCCTGCCTGGTGATCACCACCTATTTGCATCCTCTGGTAGAGTTGTTGGTACTACATGGAAGTCTGAAGGGGTGGCAATAAACTTAGTCATGACCCCAATGTTTTCTCCTTAAATATCTCAACACTCCTAAAGACTTCAGCCTGCAAATGTTTATGTTCAGAAACTAAGTGATTCTGCCAGACACTGGGTCCCTTTTGTAAACAGCTGGAATTCTTGTGGTGTTTCAAACTCTGATATCTTTTCACAGTAGGAGTGGACTCTTGGCAGCAGAACACAGTAATGAGAGGTCAGGATGCAACAACAAAACAATCAGCAACATCCAAAGTAACAGACCCCAATCTCTTTAACTGGGCTCTTTCAACTCTCCAATGACATTTCTTTAGCCAGTCATGCTTTGTAGAGTCAGTAGAGAAAGCCAAAATATTTATGAAAGTTCATTATAACAGAGTTACAAAACATTAATAGTACTTTCCCAGTCTATTCCACCTGTTTACAAAAGGAGAAAGTGACTACAATTGATTTTTCTGTTGGATCATTAGTACAAACAGTAATTTACAAGCTTTTTTAAAAAATAATTACATGGAATTTTAAAGAATTCACCACCTCCTTTTCAGGGCATCCTATGTAGACAAGAGTAATGTCTTGGTCCATTGAAAAATGAGATCACACACTTAGGGGAGTGGAGAGCAAATTTTGCATACCCAGGACCTAGACTGACTCAGGCAGTATGTACAGAACCTGAGAAGGGAGAATCTCTGACTGAAATGTTTCTTTTGGCATATCTACAAAGGAGATCAGCTAAAAAAACAATTCCAGTTTAAATAAAAACACAAATGTTTGTAATTGGCCTTCAAATACAATTTTTCATTTTTTACAGTAAGTCCCTGAGTGATGAAGAAAACCTGAAACTCTTTGGGAAATGCAACAATCCAAATGGACATGGACACAACTATAAAGGTGAGAGCCTGACTGGCCTTTATTCATGCAGCCCCAGAGAGAATTAGTTCTCATGTTTGTAAGATCAGGCCCACTGACGGGGGAAGGAAAGGGGGCAATTTCCCAGTGCTTGGGCAATTTAAAGGGCTTCCTGCCCACCCTCGCTCCATTCCGCTTCTGGAAGTGGCCAGTACTGTCCTTGTGACTCCGCACACACTTCCCCCTGAGTGCCGACTCTGCAGCTCCCATTGTCGGGCTGGAAGTTGGGTTGGGTGTGGGGCTGTTCTCTGGCTGGCAGGTCCCCACTTTGGGCAGGTTTATTGAGCACTGGACCAGAGCTAATTAGGCTGCACAGCCATGCAGCTTACAGGGAGCTTAGGTCCAAGGTTCTCCTCAAATCTTCCCTTCCAGGAATGTTATATACAAGCCTGGCCCACAAGAACACAGAACATTTGCATTTAATACACTGGACTCCGAAGATATGTAAACTTAATTCAATACCGTTTTTCAAGGATACGTCAGGCACTTACTGTATCTATCCCAAGCCTTATGGATGTTTCCTCCTCAAGAGTCCCCTCTCTCTTGGAACAACAGTATTAGAGTATTAGAAGCGCTGATAGGCCCCTCTGGTAGTGTTCTCTGTACCAGCTCTGCCTTTCTGATTGCTACGGCAATAGTTTATAGGGTGAGAGAGATTGTGGCCCTCGTGACACGTCCTCCTTGTATAGTGATTCATAAGGACAATGTCACTCTTTAAGTTTCTGCCTGAGGCTGTCTAGTAGTAGGGACTAATCCATTCATCAGCCTATTTTCTTCCCCAAGCCTCACTCAACCCTGGAAGTAACTAGATTTCATGTACCTGATATAGTAAGGGCCCTGTCTTTGTAAACAGAACAGAATCACTTGGGAACATGCCTATGTGTTTGCGGCCAGATATAAAGAGCAACATGTATCCTCACAGATTATCCAAGTCAGGGGCCAACACACAGTTCATCAAGGTTAGCCACCATTGGATTGCCAGATGGTTTGTTTACGTGAGCGTCCATGGGCAGGGCTCCTTGCAGCTCCCAGTGGCTGTAGTTCTCCATTCTTAGCCAATGGGAGCTTCAGGAAGTGGTGCAGAACCAGGCCCACTGGGAGCTGCAAGCATACACTAGATAAACAAACCATCTGGTGGCCCGCCAGCAACTAACCCTGACAAACCCTGTGTGGCCTGCAGACTGCAGGCCTTGATCTAAGTGGATCACCAAGTGTATCAAGACACGTTATGGGTTAGCCAAGTCAGACCACCTAGCCACTTTAGAGCTCATTCCGTTAGAACTCAGGCACCCCCTGTGGCTGGTTTGAGGAGTGTCCATGTATCTGACATTTGTTGGACTGCTACAGTCCTTGCATATACAAGATACCATTCCGAGGTAGAAGTTTCCAGATCAGAGGCCAGTTTTGGTAAGACTCGGCTGTGAAATCTTTATACTTGCAGCTGCAGGCACAGTCCCAGTAGACACTGTTGACCTAAAGAATCCAATTTCATGTCCAGCTTGAAGAATCACAATTACTGTAGAATGAGTTACCATTTTTATTGGGGATGTTGCTTTAAACAGTAACACTTCTGCTGTCATTAACCCACTAACCCACCTCCTGGGGCCGATTAATGCTGTGCTACTCACGTGATTTGTTTTTGTGTATATTGGATCTCACTGATGACTTGGTGTTTTTCTTCCTCTAGTTGTAGTGACTGTGCGTGGAGAGGTAAGTGCAATCATTCCTTCTTTCCTTCCTTCTTTGGACGTATCAGTGTGTGGTTTCCATATGCGGATTCTTCAGATCTTTCAATAAAACCACCTGTGACAGGTTGTGTCACAGAGATCCCCTTGAGGTTGTCACCTGATGGGCTGATCATACCACTGAGCCGGGCTGTCTGCTCAGAAGCTCTGCTCTCTCCCAGCCCACAGCAAGGCAACACAGACACCAAGAACAGCTCGGCTCTGGGAAGGCACAGTCACAGGGAATTGATGCAGCACCCAGGTGCCCAACCCCAATGGGACCAGAAAGTCTAATAAATCTGTCTTAATCTGCATAGTTTTATACAGAGCAAGTGTAACCTGCCACTGGGTGGATTTGAACCTGGGCCCTCTGAAGCAGAGTATAGGAGCCTCTACCCTCTGAGCTAAAAACCAGCTGGCTCCCAGCCCCTGCTGTAGAGGTCTCTTGATCTTAACTGTTGCTGTGGTCTAGGTACCACTTGTATTGTTCAGTAACCACACTAGGTGCGTGGGTTACGTAAGCTCATAAGTTGTTCTCTCTCCCTTTGTCAATGAAAGAGATAAATGAACAGCTGTTGTCTCACAGGTAACAATTATTGACACTGGGTTACTTATTTACACTGGGTTTAATAATAAACAAAGCTGATTTTATGAAATACAAAAAGTGGGATTTAAATAGTTGTGAGTGATAACAGACAGATCTAACTAAGTTACTAAGCTAAATAAAACAAAACATGCCAGCTATGTTTAATGCTTTTAAGAAACTTGTTACATTGTGCAATTCCTTACCCTAACAGTAGTTCTAATCAATGTTCTCTCTCAATTTTTTTCATCCATGTGTGGAATAAATGTTATTATGTGCAGTGACACATGTGTAGATGTGTACCAGTAGGAGAAATACATGCTGCTGTCTGTGGATGACTGGGCATTCTGCTAATGAATTGGGTGGGTGGCCATCCAAGTTCACAGCTTACAAGGGAACAGTGGTTCTAATAATCTTTTCTGACACGTTAGCTTGGGCACAGTCCTTCCCCTGTTCAGTCTTAGATTTTTCCAGGAGTCATCTGGGTGGTAAGTAGGGGTATCTTGGCTAACTTCCTCTTGTTTGGTTCCCTGCCTATAAATAGATTTTGCCCAACGCAGGAATCCTTCAACCCTTTCACACCCCCAGGGAAAAATACCACATCCAAAATGAGTTGGTGACCTGGTCACATGTCATGGTAGGACCAATCATAGTCCAGGCTTACAGGAAGAACAAGACTATTCACAGATCATTGTTTTGAGTACTGGGCTGTTATGTACGGGGAGGGACAGAGGAGGAACACAGCAGGCTTTGCACTTTCCCCTTGCTCCCTAGTCACAGCAAGAAGGGAAAAAAACCACAGTGACTGGGTAAGTGTGTCTGGAAGCCTCCCCAGCCTCCCATAATAGTGCCCTCCCCCCCATACTCACCACTATACCCCCTTGCCCTGAGCCCCCTGCCTTGAATCCTGCACCTCCCACATCCCTCTGGTTGGAGTCCCCTAGCCCCTATCACCTTCTCCTCATACCCCTCTGCCAGAGACCTTCCTCATACCCCCAACCTTCTGCCCTGAGCCCCCCGCGCTCCACCTCACATGTACATTTCTTACAGGTACTGTCCTATCACAACCCACCCCCCTTGGGGGAAGCTTTAAGATGGGGATGGAGGGTGGTGATACAATAGTACCTGTAAGAAATTTATCGCCACCCTCCATCCCCATCTTAAAGCCTCCCCCAAGAGGGGTGGGTTGTGTTAGTTCAGTATCTGTAAGAAATTTAAGTGACTTTCACCCCTGCCTGACATCCTTTACTTTTATTTTGTTTTACTGTGTTATTCCCATGCATTGAATAAACTCGCTTTCAAGGTGGATTTTTACCACTACACAACTTCAGTGCTCCATATAGTACAGTGTTTCCCAACCTTTTTTTATAAAGTACCCCTTTTTAAAAAAATATTATAACTACCCCCAGTACCTACAGTTTTCAGACACACAAACATTTTTTCTACCACTGCAACATGTTTGTTTAAACAACTTAATCATAGCCGGGTGGGCGATGAAATTTTTGGGTGTAAAAAGTACAAAAATAATAAAGTGCTGTAAAACTTAAAACAAAAATTCAGTTTTCTCCAAATTTCAGTTGTGTTGACATACCCCCCAGATTTCTCTCAAGTAACCCTGAGGGTACTCATACCACGGGTTGAGAAACACTGATATCGTACAACCATTTATGGAGCATATTCAAAAGTTTGTCAACTCTGAACTGCCCATTAACTACCCAGTTAATTCCCTAGATCCAAGCCTACTGTAATTAATCCATCAGCCCTGAGATGTCTGAAAACAATTAGAGGGTTTTTCATAATTCTCACACACTGTGTTGTGAAACAGAGAATCACATGATACTATCAGAGACATTGTGTACCACAGAGCTTGATGGTCTTTAGAGATACAGATGACTGTTATAGAACAATCCCTGTGCGGTCTGATTCAGGACTGTATATCCTGTTGAGACGTTCCCTGTTTTGGAGGATACACATTCTGTAGGAACTGAAAAAAAAAATTTCTCACTCAGACTTTAATACCCTGTCCTGTTTAAACCAGCCGTAAATATTAACCCCTGCACACACATACACACTTTCCCAGTCCTCCTTGGAAACCCATCAGCCAAATTCCCTGTGCTCCTTATGCTGGTACAACTGTAAGCTGCTGAGTGCAAGTTTTTCTGACCACATGGAAATAGAAAAGCCAGTTGTGCATCAGAGCGGAACAATTCTCATTGCAGGGCTTGTTTCATAGGACTCTGTGCTCCTGCAGAATGGTGGGAGGCCACAGTCCTGGGCTTAGGTCTCAATTAAATTGTTCCCAGGAGATGTAGGCCACAGAACAGTTGCTCTTAATTCTGTGGTGGCTGATTGTTGGAATGAACAAAAGAACGGCTATCCTGGGTCAGACAAATGATCCATCTCATGCAGTTTCTTTGCCTCTGACAGAGCCAAAGCTAGATGCTTCTGAGGGAATGAATGGAACTGGGCAATTTCGAGTGCTCCATCCCCATCTTCTTGCAGATAGAGGTTCCTGCTAGACAGTCCCAGCTTGGTGGACCATGGCCATCAACCTGCAGAACAGCAGTTCATTTGGGCGAAAAGCATATTGCCTGTGCACTGTGGCTAGGTCACACCCTTACTCATGGTTTGTGCCTGACCCATGCTAGCTACCAGTTGTGTGTCAGGTTGGTGAAACAACTGATCACACTCTTGTTCCTGCCTACTGTGCTGCTTCTCTGTATGGCTGATGGTCACTGCCCAAGCATTCTTAATGATCACGTTGCAGGAGCTTTCTTCCTGCTGTAGACATTATGAACTTCGCTGGTCTCTTGAGAGTTGTTGATGCTCCATCTTTAGCCATTAGGGTGTGTTCTTCATTACCTTATGTAAGTGGTGCTGAAGCTCAGACAGCATCTGATGGCAGAGAGAAATTTTTCAACTTGGTCAGGATTCCTGAATGCCCATTTTGGAAGCTATTGACACCAGGTGGTCTGGGTTTGTGCTGGCTGAAGCTTTTGGTGGGATTGGTAACTCAACTGGGTAGTGAGGGTTAGTAGATTGCATCTAATCTGCCTTTGCTCTTTGCCTTGTAGATTGATCCCACCTCAGGAATGGTTATAAACCTGACAGACCTGAAAGCGTACATGCAGGTAATAAGGCTGTGCTCACGGAGCTCTCCCATGGGATTCAGCAATGACACAATGGTCCAGTGAAGGCATGGGGAAGCAGGGAGTAGATATTGGTCAGTGTGGAATTAGGGAATGGTTCAGGAGATAAAAACACTTCAGGGCAGTGCCCCTGCTGGTTCCCACACTGGCCTGTGATGTACAAGGTCTTTGACATCCTTTCACCCATTGCACAGCCTGTTGTTGTCTCCCTCTGATGGTGCTGCCATGGTATCTTCCTCTAAACTCTAGGTAGCTAGGACCTCTCAGGAGAAGGCCAGCATGGGCCCCAGGGATATCTCTGTTCCAGCGTGAGTGTCTGGAGTTGCTCCGCACACACAGCAGGGCCCTTCCTAAATCCCTGCAGCACGATTAGAACCTGCCATTCATTGTGTCCCCTTGACCTGTCCTGTGGATGCAGCTGCCAGTGTCTTTCCTCTCTGCCCTCAGGAAGCTATCATGGAGCCTCTTGACCACAAGAACCTGGATAAAGACGTGCCTTACTTTGCTGATGTTGTCAGGTGGGTAGAGTTAGAATTGGTGCCAGAGTCCAGCCTATGATGTTTTATGGGTAATAATGGGTGCCTTGTATATTGTCTGGCACCAGTTTCAACTCCATTAATTCTCCAGAAGTTGATCAACTGCCTGCCCAGCATCTCTCCCTGCCATCCATCATTATCCATGTGTAATGTCACATGTACAAGAAATTAGCCTGCTGTGACTGTGCCGTGTTTAACTTCAGCTCTGGTTTCCCTGCAGCACAACTGAGAATGTGGCAGTATACATCTGGGAAAACCTCCAGAAGCGTCTGCCCGCAGGGGCTCTTTATAAAGTCAAAGTGTATGAAACGGATCAGAACATCGTTGTGTACAAAGGGGAAGAGACGACATCTGAGAAATGAAACTCAATTCAGCTGATCACAAACTTCTGAGGAATTAATTGAATCGGTGTATCAATGGATTATTGAACCCCCTCCCAGTGTTATCTGTGTCACATAGTGATTTTGGAGAATGTTTATTTTTTATCTACGGTCATTTTTAGATAATTAAAGACAGTTTTCCTGTGGTAAGCTAATGAGGTGTTTTGTTTGTTTGCTAATGAGGGGTTCTTAGAATTTGCTAAACTCTTCTCTGCCTTTTATCACAATAGTCAGTTTCACAAATCAAAACCACCACAGTGATGTGAAACCCTTTGAGCCTTCTGCCTGTTTAGAGTAAGGCAGTGCCGCTTTTTTTCTCTCTTTCAAGGAAATGTACGAACTAAACATGCACCCATTCCGCTAGGATTTGATTGTGGATTTTTAATGGCCATGGAATATTTTTTTGTTGAGGAAGGGGAGACTGAGAAATGACTTTTCTTCTTGTTATTGCTGCAAGTCTGCTTCTTCCTGCAGATTTGTAAGATAAGAGATTGGTGGTACTGGCGATCATAACTGCTTTTTGTTTTGTTTCTCTTATGCCAAGGCTGGCTCTCAGTAACACTTTGATCTAAGACGACTTAGGATTTCGTGAAAACTGACTGCTATAAACCACAAGGTCAGAGAATCAGTTTGTTTGCTTTATTGTGCTGATGATAAAGTTTTTCTAGTGCATGCCAGCCTGCTGCATGCCAAACTATAGTGAAGGGAGGAAGCAGGGCTGAAGATGAAAGGAAAAAACTGTTACTTATTTTGACTTGAGTAGTTAGCCAGAATTTAGGGTCTAGTCGGTTGTTTCTGTTGATGGAGAAGTTGATGGTAGAGTCACGTGTTTCTTTATTGCACTGCTGATTATTTACAACTAGCACATTTACCCAACTTTTCTTAGGGCAGGGAGCAGGAGGCATGGGAGTTGGAAGTCAGGGTGTGTGTGTGTGTGTGTGTGTGTGTGTGTGTGTGTTCTCTCCAAAGTCTGCCCCCTACATTCTCCAGCCAGGATGAGGAATGCAGCAAACTGTGCATTTCCCCCTCACTCCCTGGCAAAAGGGAATAGCCAGCAATGTCCCGGGGGCAGTCCCTAATGGGGGGGCACCCCCCAGCCAGCCCCTTTCACCTGCCTGGTGATTCTGTCTCTTCTGTATGGTTTTCTAAGAAGCAATCCCATTCCAGGCACATCCCATTTTTCCTTTCCCATTATCCACCCTGCCCCCTGCTGCCCAAATGAGGTTATGGCTTATCTGGTCCCCATCTCTGGACCTTTGCTGCCTCCTGTGGTCATTATACAGTATAACTGTTGCTGATTTCCATTCCATATCCCCTGCTGCCTGCATGTGGTCATTATATAGGAGAGCCTCCCCCTCCCCCTGCTTTCCGGTTTATGAGAAGCAATCCCATTCCAGGCACATCCCATTTTCTTGGCACAACCAAATCCTTACCTTGGTTTAAGTTATGATAAGAGGAAGCTGCTTACCAAATTTGGTGGTCCTAGCTCTTACCATGTAGAAGTTCTTGAACAAACAGACAGACACACTCATGTACAGTCAACTCATATGGTAGATATCAAATATCATTTTAGGCTGTCTGCTCCTTTTCTGTGTGCCTTAGTCTTTTGGTAGTGCAGAGCTGGCTAGGAGAAGGAGAAAACATAGACCTGGAAGGAACCTTGAGAGATCATCAAGTCCAGTCCCCTGCCCTCCTCCGTGAGGGTACGTCTACACTAGCCCTCTAGATCGATCTAGGGAGGCTAATGAGGGTGACCAGAATTGCAAATCAAGCCTGGCATTAAAATATCCTGCGCTTGATTTGCATGTTCCCGGCCGGTCGCCATTTTAGAAATTGACTAGCCCGAAGTAACTGCCTGTGTCTACACACAGCAGTGAAACGGAATTCCGAGTTAAATCCCTAAGTCGAATTAGCTGGTAAATCTCATTGCAGGAGGAATACCAGCTAATTTAATTTAAGGCTTTAATTCGGAATCCCATTTCGCTACAGCGTGTAGACGCGGGCAGTTACTTCGGGCTAGTCAATTTCTAAAATGGCGACCGGCCGGGAACATGCAAATCAAGCGCGGGATATTTAAATCCCAGGCTTGCTTTGCAATTCTGGTCACCCTCATTAGCCTCCCTAGATCGATCTAGAGGGCTAGTGTAGACGTACCCTGACAGATGTTTATTTAACCTGCTCTTAAAAATCTCTAGTGATGGATATTCCACAGCCTCCCTAGGCAATTTATTCCAGTGTTTCACCACCCTGGCAATTAGGAAGTTTTTCCTAATGTCCAACTTAAACCTCCCTCCCTTGCTGCAGTTTAATCCCTTTGCTTCTTGTCCTATCATCAGAGGCTAAGAAGAAGATTTTTTCACACTCCTTCTTCTTTTAGATATGTGAAAGTTATGTCCCCTGTCAATCTTCTTTTTTCCTGACTAAACAAGCCTGGTTCTTTCAGTCTTCCCTCACAGGTCATGTTCTTTAGCCCTTTAATCATTTTTGTTGCTCTTCTCTGGATTTTTTCCACCTTGGCCACATCTTTCCTGAAGTGTAGCGTCCAGAACTGCACACAGTACTCCAGTTGAGGCCCAGTCAGCACAGAATAGAGCAGAAGAATGCCTTCTCGTGTCCTGCTCACAACACTCCTGCTAATACATCCCAGAATTATGTTTGTATTTTTTGCAACACTGTCACACTGCTGGTGCATTTTTATCTTGTGGTTCACTATGACCCCCCAGATTCCTTTCTGCAGCACTCCTTCCTGGGCAGTCACTTCCCACCAATTGTTTAACTTTGCAAAGTGGCTGAATACCACAGGGATAGGCAAAGCCATGTAAACATAAAACTAGATGTCTTATGTTTCAGCTGAACATGGGGACAGCTTCCTGGTCTCCATTGTAAAGAATGATCTGCTGGCTTTAGGAGCAGGATGTGTGGTCAGGTCATGTGTTAGAATTAAATTAGATACAGAGGAGGCAGCTGATTCTTGTGTATGCTGTTGCAAGGGACTTAAAATAGCAGAGGCCTGACCATGCAGTTCCATGTCACCTCCCCCCACCCACTCTAGTGCACTCTAGCCTGATGGATCTGCAATGAGTTGGTATCCTTATGCTCAGGCTTCAGTCAGTGTGGCCTGGGAGAGGAGAGGAGCATTGGGCATGTCATTGGGTGTGTGTGGGTGTGTGTAGACTACAGGTTTTTTTTTTTTAAAGTGACCTTTTTCCGTAAAACCTTCACCTGCATCTAGACTGCTGCTGTGTTCTTTCTAAATTAAATCGAAAGATTAAATTGAGATTAGACGAAGGTTTCTAACCATTAGAGGAGTGAAGTTCTGGAACGGCCTTCCAAGGGAAGTAGTGGGGGCAAAAGATCTATCTGGTTTTTCTTTTGAAAAAGCAAGACGCTTTTTTGAAAAATCTTCTTGTTGTCTAGACGCTCTTTTTCGACAGAGGCTTTTTCGAAAGATACTGTCGAAAAAGCCTCTGTCGAAAAAGGCGTGCAGTCTAGATGTAGCCTTAGGACTGCTGCTTCAGGCTGTCTCTGTTGCAGGCTTAAAGCCAGCGCTGCATTTCGTCACTGTGGTTTGTTGCCGCTTTTAATGCGGCAAGAGTGGCTTTTGCAGCATTGCAGAACTTGCAGGATGAGTCAAGAAATCAAGTGCACACTGTGAAGACTAAGCAGTAATACATGTGGCATCAGCCAGTGGGGACAGTTACCACATAGCAGTGGTTTTCAACCTGTGGTCTGAAGACTATGCCGAAGGGATCCCCAAAAGATGTAGGCTGAACACTTACTATGTGGTAACTGTCCCCACTGGCTGAAGTGGAACTCAACTCAACAAAGACATTGATTTCAAAGAGCCCCAGACCTCCATTTGGCATTTGTTAGGGGTTTGCAAATAAAAAAAGGTTGAAAACCACTGCCAGAGAGCTCTTGTGTGTTCTGTGGTCTTCAGCTATATCTGTTACCACTCACAAAAGGAGTCAGGCTGTGTCATTGCATTGCTCTATAGCAGGAGTGGGGAACTTCAGGCCCCGGGGCCAGATGCAGCCCCCGGCTTGCCTGGATCTGGACCCCAAGGCTCAGGGCTGCCACCTAGCATTGTGGAGTCCATGCTGTGCTCCAGCCACCAGCCACCCCAACATAGGGCTGGAGAGGGTACACAAAATCTTTTAGCCAGGGCCCTGCTAGGTTCTGGGATCTGAGTGTGGGGAGTGTCTTTCTCCTTCTCCATATCAGTGAGATTCCTCTCTCTTCTCACATGTGTGCGGCCCCCAACTGATTTTTCTGTGGATCAGCAGCCCTTCTCCCCCCACCCCCAAAAAGATTCCTCCCCCTGGCTCTATCGTGAAGTAATATCTTTTATCAAACTAGCTTCTGTCAGTGAGAGAGGCAAGCTTTTAGGTCTGCACAGAACTTTTCTTCAGGTCTGGGATATGTACACAGCGCGTGACAGCCAAATACAGGCTGTTCAGCATAAGTAGCTAACAACAGTTTGAAGGGACCTTTCAACTGGTGAGCACCTCTGCAGTCACAGAAAGAAAAACAAAAATGGGCCAGTGGTTAGTGGGTTGCAGAGTGTCAAGTTAAACCACAAATCTGGTGTCTGCTAAATGCATGCTGAAACAAAAGACAGGAGTATGCAGCACTTTAAAGACTAACAAGATGGTTTATTAGGTCAGTGGTCTCCAACCTTTTTACACCCAAGATCACTTTTTAAAAGACAGACCAAGCCAAGATCTACCGCCCGCCCCTTCCTTGAAGCCCCGCCCTCTCTATTCTCTTCTTTTCCATCACTTGCTATCCCCAATCCTTATACTGCTACTTTAAAAAAAAATTCCCACCATTCCTCGCAGCTCCTCACCTGTGCTGTTGCTCCTCAAATGAGGAAATCTAATGTAAATGTACTGCGCAGGCGCACAGTTCAGAGAGGGCTCAAGAGCTACTCTTAGAGCCTCCAAGATCTACCAGTAGATCACGATCTACTGGTTGGTGACCATGGTATTAGGTGATGAGCTTTCACCTAATAAACAATCTTGTTAGTCTGTAAAGTGCTGCATAGTCCTGTCTTTTGTTTCAGCAAGACCAGACTAACATGGCTACATCTCTATTACTATGCTAAATCCATGGTTTTTAGGCCTGGTCTACACTCGGAAATTAAGTAGGTAGA